TTATCAATACCATAAGTGTATGTCCTTTGTTTTCAAGGTGAATTGTCTGTCAGTATCTACATCCATATTGTCATACACGATAAAGGAGATGTTATATGTATTACCAACATTAGACATCAAAAATGAAAAGATAATGTTAAAAAGAAATTCATATTTATTTATGATTATTTCCAGTAAAAAAATCCATGTGAGTATAAGTAAGTGGACCTATGCAGTTCAAACCTGTGTTGTTCAAGGGTCAACTGTGCATGAGAAGATGGATGCTAGCTGAAACTATTGTGGTAATCATTTCACAAGATATGTAAAGCAAACCGTCATGCTGAATGCCTTAAACTTATACAGTAATGTATGTCAATTATTTCTCAACAAAATTGGGGAAAAAAGTTATGGTAGAGGTCCAAAGTCTAAAAAGATATGGATTAAAAATTCTGTGTGTGTGTTTTTTTAATCTTGAGATAAATTTTTCATCCTCCTCCTCTAAGCAGCCACTGTATCTAATACTGAAGCTAGGAAATGAAGTTGAATGATAAACAGAACCCATTTCTCGAAAGAAAGCCTCAACCAGTCGTCGTTTTTCTATAAACACTTCAGCATTTGTATTCACTTCGAAGATCGAACCTTAACCCTAACATCTGCAGCCTTTCGTTTTATTTCTGGCCTTTTCTGCTGTCCCCGTGCTCCATGACCCGGCTCCTCCTCCCTGGCAGGCCTACCCAGCTTACCTTACACCCCCTGCTAATGCTCACCCAGGGCTGGGACTAAATTCTGTTCCAAGAGCTCAGGAACGTCTCTACTGGCAGCACTAAGCCCTTGCAGGCCTGGATTCAATGGTCTTCTGAAATGCAATATTCAGGGCTGGCCCAGTGCTCGTAAACTGTTCCTTCACGATCTCCAAAGAACAAGGAGAATAATTTTACAATGAAAACCTTGGCATAACAAGAGCTCTTAAAAATTTGGGAGTGGCATACCTGTCTATCCTTATCTTCCACTATCTGCAGAAAGTGACTCTCTGCTCCAGTCAAACCGGGTTATACAACCAAGACTTCCCCATTTTTAGGCTCTGGCTGCCTAGTGGATGTGTGCTTCTTGGGTCACATCACAGACTGCGGCCTTACTCTAGTCTTTAGTTATTCGTTTGCTACGAAGGCCTCATCTCTACAACTACACTGTAAGCTGCTCGAGGGAAGGATTCGGTCTTCTGTGTCTTTGGACTCCTAATAGTGCTTATAGAGCACCCAAGGGGGTACTCATATTTTCGTTGTTTTTATTGGCAGAGTCTACATTACAGATCACAGATGGTCACAAAAGCAAGACTGGACCCACAGGTATGCTGGAAATAGTGTCTGACTCTACAGGGCACATTACTCAGACATGAGGAGTTTGCCCAGGAATGATAATGACAAGAGCCAACACTCAACGTATGCCTGTTACATGCCTGGCACTCGTGTGCGTGCTTTACCTATATGCACGTGATAACCATATGAAGTAACTACAATTACTATCCTCATTTTACAGATGAGGAAACAGAGGCACAGAGAGGTTGCGTATTTGCTCAAATTGGCAAATAGCAGAACTGGAGTTTGAACCCAGGCAGTCTGGCTCCAGAGTCAGAGCATAAGCCTGACACTATACCATCTCTCTACACGTGGCCAAAGGGACTTGGAGGGGATGAGCTGGGAATACTCAGGAGCCAGAAAAAGAGCTACCAAAACGTCCACCACTTTTGCTGTTCATGTGCAATGCTTATTTGAGCAAGTATGTGGTGGAAGAGAATCATTTCAGCAATTAAATAGGTTCTCCGGTTTCTTGTGGTTTCAGGCTGTTGATTTTAAAAGGCAATTTAAAATAGATTCACAAAGCGATTAGCTCAGAAAATGACCGAGTCACTTTTTCTCTCTCATTAGATTTCTATTTATATATCTAATCAGAAATTTTCCTTAAGTCTAATGATACTATTACAGAGACAAATTATTTATAATTTGTCATGATACAACCACCTTCACCTGGTTAGAACATGACAAATCATTAACATCAGTGGCAAAAGAAGTCTCTTGACTTCACTGCACCTAGAGATAAAAATGTTAGTTGTAATGTACACACTACTATATATAAAATAGATAACCAACGAGGACCTACTGTATAGCACAGGGAACTCTACCCATTATTTTGTAATAACCTGTAAGGGAAAAGAATCTGAAAAAGATTCTGAATCGCTGTGCTGTACACCTGAAACTACCATGACGTTGTAAATCAACTATACTTCAATAAAAAAAAAAAAATGTTAGTTGTAGCAGAAACTATGGCGCAGGGCAAATACTATATGCATCGAATATAAACACATGCTACCGTATAGGTCCCAGGCTGGGTACAGGCCCAGTCTGTTAATAAAATGAAGTTTTAATTGATGGTTTTTGTGATTTCCATTGTATACAGTCAATAGGAAAGAGAAGCAGAACTGCAGATGACCGAAAAACACACTGGCACCGAGGCTGTACAAGATCTGGAAGGGAATCTAGAAAACTGACAACAGTGAAATAATAGCTGCCCTTTGTTTTCTTATTGCTTTTATTTCTGTCATAAATAGGCATTGTGTTAAAAAGAAAACACATTGTTTATGCCTCAGTAAACACAGTGGTACTCAGAGAATTCAGATTTTATTGAATAACGTGTTGTTAATTAATCTTCTGAATTGTTGAGGTGTTTCCTATGAAGTAGCCCCCATCTTCTCCCTGGTCCTGCCCTGCGCGCCATTCCTAGGTATCGTATTCAATTTGCCACATAATACTACATGTGGCATTACTGAGAGACACAGAGAGAGCGATCAGTTTCGTGAACAGCATGATGGTACACAGGTGGTTAATCCCTGGGACCCAGACCACTTAAGAAAATACCTAGGTGATAGGCAATGCACAAAAATCAAGTCTGCCTGGAACTCCTGGTAGGGGAGCACTTCAGCAAGAAGGACCATGCCATCCTCTACCAGTGATAAGAAGATGCATACACAGAATGGGTGAGGGTGAAGTGTGACAGGGGCCCAGCCACATCAGCCAAATTAACCCCCCCAAATCAATGGAGGGACAGTTGTCACAGGCAGGTACCTCTCTTGCTTACATCTTGGGATAACACAGGCCAGGCAGTTGATTTTATTTTGTTTAATTTTAATTCATTAATTAATTTGGAGGGAGGACGAATTGAGGAAATAATTTTTTTCCTCGGTAATATAGAACCTTGAGGTCTTGAGGGTACCATAGAGATGAATAATTCAAAATCCCCTTTGAGTAGAAAGCTCTCTATTCCTAAAGGTGGGTGAATTTTTTTTTAAATTTTGTTAAACTGTTTAATTTGAAATAATTTTAAATTTAGTAATAAGTTGCAAAGATTGCACAGACATTTCCATTATACCCTTCATCCAGCATCCCTTGATGTTAACACCTTATGTAATTATGCTATACTTATTAAAACTAAGAAATTAACATCGGTGCAGTGCTACTAAGTAAACCACCGACTTTATTTGGATTTCATCAGTTTTTCTGACAATGTCCTTTTTCTGTTCCGAGATGGATTTCTGAATAATGAAGTATGGTAGGTGGTGTGCAAAAATCTCAAGCTTCCCCAAGATAGGATCAATACGAAGCATTTGTATATGTACAAAGTGGCAAGTGTTACGGTGATTAACAGTAAAACAAAGACATAAGGAAATTACAAGGCAAATTTCCCTGAAGTCTCCCAGTAAGTTATTCGTGTCTGAAGGTGGTTTTGTTTTTTTGTTTTTTTGTTTTTTTTTTTTGCGGTACGCGGGCCTCTCACTGTTGTGGCCTCTCCCGTTGCGGAGCACCGGCTCCGGACGCGCAGGACCAGCGGCCACGGCTCACCGGCCCAGCAGCTCCGGGGCATGAACCCGTGTCCCCTGCATCAGCAGGCGGACTCTCAACCACTGCGCCACCAGGGAAGCCCGGTTTTGATTTTTTGACATTGTATTTTTCTAATTTCACTAAAGGAAAGCTAACCAAATTTGTGGATTTTATTTTTTGCTTCAGCCTCCAAAAGCTTTAGGGCTAATTCAGGCCTGGTTCAGTGGCAAACAACTGTCTCAGAGGCCTCATGCATGTCTAAATAGCTTCTCTCCTGTTTATTTTGCACTGTTTTATCCTATAAGCTGTCTCAAGGCCCTTCCAAGATAAGCAGGAGGATTTAAATCTTAATAAATTGAAATTTGAATAACGGAGGCAATCTAGGTTCGGGGGTCTTGAATGATTAGGATAAACATCTCTTTTCCACTCCCACATTATGCATGTGCTGTCCATGTTGCCCTGAGATCAGCATCAGTAATAATTCAAATAGTAACAACAGCAGTTAAGACTATTAGATTTAAATAGCACTTTTCAGTTTATAAGGACTTTTATTTACAGTTATTATTTCTATTCTTGGAATAGTTCTAAAAGGTAGGAAGAATGCCACTTTACAGATGAAGAAACAGTCACTAAAAGATGAAGACATGCCCCAAACAATAGGGACAAATGGCGGCCCCAGGACCAGAACTCAGTGCTTTCTAAAAACCTTGCCATGATTTGGCCTGATGTGTCAACATCTGTGAGCCAGCAATAAGACTTTCAATCACATTCCCATTAAACTTCTTGGAAACGCCTTCTTATAAAGCTTATAACAGGGACCTTACAGAAGTCTAGAGTCATCTCTTTTTTGAAAAAAGATAACCAAAGAGATTTTTTTCATCAGTTCAATCAATTCTGGGATTGGAAGTGGCAAACAAGCCATGCTCGAATACTATTCTCCAGCCTCTCATTATTGTGATGGGAGGCATAAAAATATATATAACTTCCTTGATTGTAATGAACACCCAAATATTTATTCTGTCCTGTCGTTTCTCGTCACTCAAAATGCCAAGGAGTTGAATTTTTAGGCATAGTAGAAGTAAAAAATAGAAGTCACAAAGATACATCCTAACGTTAATAGAAACAACAACAACAATTAAAAAGGCTTACCTTGCAGCCTTCACATGTAATGACACCATAATGGATTCCTGATGATTTGTCTCCACAGATCTTGCATGGAATAATTTCAATTTGAGCTGCAACAGAAGCACGCAACCAGTTAATTACATTTTATTTTAAACACCTTATAAAAGCATTCCCTGATCAGCATTTGTATAGTGAAAACTAATAACCTGCTAAACATTATACTGCATTAACTATTCATTGCTGAACTGTGAGGGTCCCCCTAGAGCCCTGGACTAAATTATGGCTGCTCGTTATATAATAGCTTTCGGGTTATTAAAATGGGTCATTTGAGGAGGTGTTTAAGAACCCACAAGAAGACTGGAATCAGCATTTCAAAGCCTTCAAGAACTGGAGAGTTCACAGTTTAGGCCTCAGAGCAAAGCAGATACTAAAATGTTTCCTCCGATCTCATTTTCCATCATTATTTTTAAAAGGTCATAAACCTGTCTTGGCTGAGCATTGTAGCTCGGCTGGTGGAGAAAAACAGACTCCAAAAAGCCAAAACTACTTAGGAAAATGATTCAATTCTAAATATTAATAAGTTACACATGATGGTAAGAATTCCTTACTCATCTTTTTTTAATTAATGTACCTGCCATGTGTTAAAAATTAGTCCACTTGTGTATGATCAAAACCTTTCAACCATAAAGTTCATATCCTATTTGAATTTAATAATGATGAATCCGGACAAATAGAATATGTAGCTTCAGAGTTCTTTACATTGGAAATTGATTTTCTTGTACAGCGTGCGTGTGTTTCTATCTAACTGATTGTTTACAGTTGCCTCATACTGGAAGAATAACCAAATAATTCATACATATTACATCAAAGTTCTCAAATATGTTAAAGCACGTTTCTAAGAAAACACATTATATCTTGAGCAGAGTTGGAAAGAGTATAATTAAGGATTAAAAAACTCCTAAGGACTAGAATAATTAGGCAAAACAAAGTACTTGGACCACCTATTAAATACAATTTATATCTGAAATAAAGAACCAACACTGAGCTGCATATACAGCATGACAAGTTTCACCAGTTTACCTGGAATGCTCCATTACACTAAATTTATTTTCCATGGTTATCACTACTGGATATCATGTCAGATTACCTACTAAGTCACACACACAAAGGCAGCTGCAAGTGCCCAAGTGGATTTCATTTTCATAAAGCCCCTACCTAGTGCCATGCCTCACACAAAGCAAGGACTAGTCTAACGAACGTATTGCACAACGTAAGTAACACACATACACAGAGCCCACCCTTTCTTCCAATGTAATCTCATATCCTGGGGTAATTTCCACAGCCACCTACTCTGGATTTGATACAATATTGTATTCAATACTTCAAAAGAGGACACATTAAATTACTGGACTTAACCTCATTATAAACCATGTGTCCCTGCTAACTTCCTTTCAAGGGGACCACAAGTACTGCAGTGCCTTTAGTGAGTCCTTTGCCTACCAGTCACTTTTAGTGTTGACATCCTGAGTTTCACTACCCAGAGTTAGAGACTGTTCAAAATCTCACCTCCAATAAATGTGCCATAATCCTCAAGCCTTCTAATACCCCAATAGTGGCATTTTTGTACACTATCTAATATGTTTACTCTGAGTTATACAACTTAATATGTTATAAGGTCACGCTTAACAAAAACCGTCATCTTCAAGTCGGCCTCGTCATCTTAGAGACTAGCTTGATTTCTTCAAGGAAAATTCTTTATGAAATCTAAACTCTAATAATGTTTCACACTTAGGCTCCTCCAATTTTTTTTTTTTTTTTGCGGTACACGGGCCTCTCACTGTTGTGGCCTCTCCCGTTGCGGAGCACAGGCTCCGGACGCGCAGGCTCAGCGGCCATGGCTCACGGGCCCAGCGGCCCCGCGGCATGTGGGATCTTCCCGGACCGGGGCACGAACCCGTGTCCCCTGCATCGGCAGGCGGACTCTCAACCACTGCGCCACCAGGGAAGCCCTCCTCCAATATTTTTAATACATAGTTAAGGCAAAGTTTTGTGCCACAGATTGTCTGCAGCTCTAGAGAGAGATGGTTATGCCCCACATTTTTCAGAGACTCATAAAAGCCAAGTGGTAGTAGAGAAATTCTGAAAGGTGATATCAGCTGAAACCTCTAACCCTAACCCTAACCCAAACCCTAACCCTAACCCCAACCCCAACCCCAACCCCTAAGGAAGAGAAGAATTAGACAACACAAAGTACTTGGACCATCTATTAAATAAAAACTCATACAAGAAATAAAGCAGACAGACACAGCTTCTTCTGCTTATGTCTCACCTCAAGTTGTAGTCACAGAAATTAGACAAACCTCATTAGGCCCTATAGTTTAAGTCAGCATCAAAACTAAAAGCAACACTAACACTAAACTCGGGCCTCTCAAGAGTTATTTTCATTCCATCTTAGTAATGGAGAGATCAAGCAAATCTACTTAGTCCTTTATAAGATAGGAAAGCTCTGGGCAGGCCAGACAGGGAACACTGAGTAAAACTGTATGTATCTGGATCAGACGGAAAGTGGTGTATTGTTGTTCACTCTGCCTGGACTCCTAGTGGATGACCCATGAGAAGTGACGTCATGATGTTTAAGGCAGTGACCAAAACGCCCACTAAAGGCTCCTGTAACACTGCAAGTGATCTGGAGGTCTGGCAGGGAGGGGTCTGATCATGATGGGGGTGCCCCTGGGATTGACATCCTGGCCCAGCACTTCCACCCTTGGAATGGCTCTCAGCCAGCTGGGGAGAGGGTGGGAGTGAGGGTTGGGAAAGTCACTGTAGTATAAATCCAGAGTTTGGTGCCACTACTGCATAGGACCACTGGCCTGAGTCAGACTCCTAAACTCTTGGTCTTCAGCCTTCCTTCAGCTCTCAGGGTCTTTCAGATCTGCAGGGCACTCAAGCTGAGACATATTTTACGAGACTTCATGGAGGCCAAGATGCTTAGTATGAATGGACTCACTGTAGACTGACCTGCATTTTCAAGCGAGGGGCCATTTGCCTAGAACTTTGCCCCCTGCCGCACTGTGTTTGTGCTTGGCTCCAGTGGGCAATGCTGGCCAAAGATTCCAAATTAGTTAGACCAAGCTTCCCTAGCGATCTCATGGTGAGGTGATGGGAGGGTTCTCCAAAGCCAGGTTCCGATATTCTGATTGGTTGGATTAAACTATTCTACTAGCCTACCCCCTTGGGTGGCTCTCTTATCTCAGAAGACAATTTCAGGTGCAAGTGCTCTTTAGGAAATGACTAAAATCCACTTGCTCTAAAAAGCAAATTCTCTGAAAGTGATCGATCACACGTGTTGATCTTTCCAGAAAGTAAACATTTGCTGATCGGGGCAGGGCACTTACTCAATCTTCCATTTCATCCAACAATGCACAAAATCCACCTCCCTTCACCTTTTAGTCAATTTACAGAATTCAAATGTATCAAGGAGAAGAAAAATAGTCAATGCCTTACAAATTTTTCAAAAGGAAAGCAGTGTAGTTTCACAAATTTGAGTTTTCAGACCAATAAGCGGGAACAGGACAAAAATCCCCCTGCCCTTTGCTTTCTATCCCTCAGGCTTTTCCATTTTCTGACAGGCAGTATTGTGTCTTTTCAAAATAATCTTGTAACAAAAATTATGAGTCTTGGCCCATATATATACTGCACACATTGACTCAGCCAGTATTTCAAAGGATGAAATCTGTCAGACACCACAACTGTCACAAGTATATTGATTAAATTAGTCCACATCCATATTCATTGCAGCAAAGAGGTTTATTTTGTAGCGGAATATCTGAAGCAAGATGCACGCACACATATAATCATGAATTGGCTTAACAATGAACAATCTCGCTATGAAAAATTCTAATTTGCCTACATTTTCAGCTCTATTGCCTAAATAATTTGCTCTTTCATGCACCCTAAATAATTCAAGCAGGCTCTCCACACCTGCACAGGCAAATTTCTGCAGTTTCAAGGAGCTGACAACAAGTAGCGGCGGGGCATCAGGAAATCCTGGCAAGCAGGTGTGCTAATTAGCCAAGTGGTCCTTAGGCTGGGCGGGCATTTAGCGTTGTACCTCTGTAAAAAAGTTTGCCTTTTACTTTTCATTATAAAAGGTAGCAAGACACTGGCGTTCTTAACACCTCACTTGCTCCTCAGGACCTATTTCTGGATTTATCGTGGTCCAGAGAAAAATGCTCATTCTGCCCAAGTATTAAAAAATATAATTGCACAAGAGTTGTACCCATCACTTCATTCTGTGGGTGAATAGTGATGTCTCGATGATAATCTAAATAGATTGATAATAGTCAATAATATTTAACATGTATTTGGGCTTATAAAGTCTCAGGCATTATCTAATTTGCTGCTCCAACAACTCTATGAGGTAGGTGGTATTATTATCATTATCATCATTATCTGCATTTGTTTTAGATGAGAAAACTGAAGCCCAGAAAGGCTAAATAACTTGCCCAAAGTCAGAGAGCTTGGAAGAAGTAAGCTTGGAATTTGGACACATTTTGGTCTTTTTCTCTAACTCAAAAGCTTATTCCCTCTCCACCCTACCCCTCTTCTCATCATACTGAATAGCCGAGCTAAATCACTCCAACAACAAACATCGGGAATATACTGCTCTTGGTAGGAAACCATTAACCAAGGATCAAAAGACATCTCACAAGTAATCTGGTTAAACGTAATACTACTCAGAACTGATGTCAAGATGTCTTTCTGGGAGATACTTGACTAGTTTATAACTGGAAATAATCATCAGCCTTCTAAGGCCATTCTTCTCAATTTTATAAAATTCCGAGTTTTTGACCTCAGGCTGACCAATACCAATGTTTAACACTTCTTAAGGCTGGGAAAATTACTTCACCTACCTCTCTGAGTCTCAGTTTTCTATTTGAAGATTCAATGATATAATGTATAAATGACACAGCACATATGATTATTTTATACATGTGTTCTATATATATGCACATCACACACAATCCTTAGAAAGAGTTGGCACTCAAAACACAGTTATTATTATTGTTATTGTTGATAAGAAATCCTGCCTTATAGCGAAATGAAATTC